CAATCTACAATGCCCTATCGCGCCCCCGAACTATTCGATGTTAAAACAGGCACAACCTTGACCGAAGCCGTCGACATTTGGTCGCTCGGATGCACCCTATTCGCACTCGCTTATGGACACTCGCCATTTGAGACCACACAGACGATGGAACAAGGGGGAAGTATGGCGATGGCCGTCATGGGCGGAAAATACAAGCACCCACCCGAGAGTTCTGGGAGATGGAGTCCCGCATTCGTTGCTTTGATCGATTCATGTCTAAAAGTCAACCCCGACGAGCGACCAGATATTCACCAGGCGAGTGGGTTCCAACTAGTCCCCCGCATTTAATTGACATTTGGCTCTAGCTGATCGCCATGACGGACAAGGTTATTGCAGCTTTGCAATGATCGAACAAAAAGTTTCGGAGTGTTTCGTTGTAGTGCCTTTTTGGTATAGAATATCTTGCTAAAATATCGATCGCGGACAACTCAGAAGAATGAAATCGGATTTTATTAACAAAAATGCGTGATCGACAAAGCCTAATGAGCCGGGTACACTATATTGGCAGACAACAGGCGCTCTTGACTTTCAGCGCCATTTACCGCCAGGTGTCGGTAACACTATAAGTACCAGAGGCGGGGGTAGTGAATGAGCGGTTGGGGTCAGACTCCCAAGTCGTGGCGCCGTTGTACTTGCGAATGTACTTGTACTGGATCTGGGTGTTTGCCGGGAGGTTCACAGTGACTGGTAGTTTCTGATTAGCACCGAGTGGATGTCAAGTGTGAGGAAACTCACTCTTCCACTGAGGATAGCTGTTGGCCGAAAGGAGGAGAGCATTATTGGGATTCCAGTTGGAAATGGCGGCCTGGTTACCAGTGAGGTAGATGTTCTCTGCAGAAAGAGTTAGTAAGATACTCGCCGGGGGACATATCCGACTGACCTCCGAAGACAGTCGTGGCTGTAACGGTAAAGGAGACGGCAACGGTTCCTCCGCTTCCTCCACTGCCGGCCGAGCAGGTGGATGGAACAGTGAGGCCAGAAGCACCCCAAGACGCGGGAACCTTGGACGCGCGAGCATCAAAAGCGGTAATCGCGGCAGCGTAGCTCCAAGTCAACTGTATAGGGATTTAGTTCCGAGTTGGCAGCACTTGAACAAAGTCACTTACGTCAACGGCAGAGAGAGGGGAACCATTCGACTTGGAAAACTGTTCAGCAAGAGCGCCCCCAGAACCTTGATACTGCTGAACGATCGAAATGAACCCATCGGCATAGGTCTTGACGGCGTTGACAATGGATGTGTAGGCGGTCGTGCTCGAGGCATAGGTACCAACAGCGGCGCTAGAGTAGAGCTAACCAGGTTATCAGTTTCTGCTTGGAGGCAATACCGAGACGCACTCACCTGCTTGAAAAAGGCCAGAGACGTGGAAGTGATCGTGATGGATCCCTGCTTGTTCCAGGTGTAGAGGGCATCGTACAATTGCTCAGCAGCGGCAGTCGTGCACAAGTACCAGGGCTATACGAACGTCAGAAATAGAACAATGCTTGTAACTATGACTTACGTTGCCGTTATAGTAGACATCCTCCTTGTAGCGGCCGATGGCGACGGCAGCATTGGCAGCCTTGCCGCTGTTGATCGAGTAAATGGAGCGGAACGAGTCGACTACAGCCTTGTGGTTGGCAAGAGCCTGCTCTTCGTGTTAGTGTGTGAAATGTGTACCAAGGCGGAGTACAAACCTTGTCAGAGCACGGCTGGAAGGTTGCAGCATCGCAACCAGTGGCGGGGTCAAAGGTATGGATGCTAGCAAGGATCGAGTTGGCATCGAGGCCGGAACGAACAACGCCTCCGTTATTGACGTTGGACGAAGCATAGAGCTGGGTGGGGTTCCAGTAGCTCTGGAGGAAGCAGAGAGCGTTGGCAGCCTGGGTGGTATAGGTCGAGGCGCGGGTCGAGTCGCCGAGAGCAGTGGCAAACTTGGCACCCTCTCGGAGCGCACGGTGCTGGACGGCGGTCGTAAAGAATGAAGAGCCTTGGACTTCCTCCCACAAATCGAAACCTGGAAGGAGTCAATGTAGATTCAGGATGATATTCTGAGTGCGTACCAGTCTGGTTCCAGTACTGAGCGACATAGTCCAGATCGAGCTTGACGAGAGGCCAGACGGTACCGGTGACATACGAGTTGGTGGTGCCCAAAAAGTTGGCATAGGTGATCATGGTTGTCGCTCGAAGCTGTGGCACATGAGTGCTAGCATTAACTCGGGACGGACACTACTCACAGCTGGACCATCACGCTGGGGGCGACCCCATGCGCCAGTAAAGGCCGACTCGTCAATGTTGAACTTGGGCTCACCCAATCCCCCAGTGGTGACGCTTCCAGAAGGGTTGGAGACCTGCTGGATGCGGCCCTGCGAAGCGATCCAGTTTTGAATCTGGGTATTCAACGTGGTGTCGCGACCTTGGGTGTATTGGTCGACCAAAAGCTTGAACACGAGCGACGAGTCGCGGGTCCATGCGTAGACGTACTGTAAAAGGATGAGTGACAGATCTAGAATTGAATGTCAAGCCTTACATCAGGGTCCCTAAATGGCACATTAGTAAACAGAAGCCCCTAATTCTCGAGTTTACTCACGTTTTGGATGGAGACGCAATGACAACGCCAGACTTTGCACCTTGGTCCTTGGAGCCATCGGCACCAATGTTGGCCTGAGTAGTGTTAGCAAAAAGTTGACCTCGGATCACGGGCTGCTCACGAAAAGTCCGGCCTTGGCAATAGGGGTTTCAGTCGTGATATAGCTGTCGAGCGACGACTGGCGACGGTCAAAGGCAGGGACAAGAGCGAGGGCCGCGGTGGCAAAGGTGAATGCAGTAGCGAGTACACGCATCGTTAGAGAGGATGTGGTAAAGAAGGAGTGCCAGTCGGCAAGCTTATTTATATGACCGTCCCGAACAAGTTTGACGTATGTAAAATAAGAAACGAGTGTGTCGTTGTTCGATGTGAAAGTCGGGAAGAGGTCTGTTGCAGTCACGTTCATGTGGACCAGGGGCTCGGGTGGTCACCTGGCTGCCAGCGATAGGGGGTCGGTCGCACAAGAAGCCCGATTTGTGTCGCACACATATTGATAGAACGGGTTCTGGAACTGCCGATCGGCTGAAGCTGGAAAGTGACGGCCAGACGCACGCGAGCGACGTCGACACCATGCGTACCAAACCGGCTAGCTTGTACCCGGTGGGGGACTGATGAGTCCAAACAAGGACCAGCCCGCGTTATTTGCAACGGTCTCATGACTGAATGGGAACGTTCTCGCGAAGGTTGTTTCTCCGAGCGTTCTGAAAGAGTGTTCGTGGTATCATGTATGGTAAATTAACGTGAGTGATTAAGAAAAATCAGAATGCCCAGGTCACGGTTTTGGTTGGGTTTTCTGATGTCATGTTAATATCAGATGGCAGCATGGTCATGAGACCTACTTTGCGTTTTTTCACAGATTCAGTCTTTTTGGGCGTGATTTCTTTGCTTATTTTGGCGGCCCTGCGTTCCTGCCGACGCTGTCGTTTGGCAAGTCGTCGGTCTTGTTTGGTTGCACGCGGTTCGGTCTATATGGGGGTAAGATTACGAAATACTGCAAATTTAGCGACTTGCTGGCTCTGTGTTTTTCGGAATGATTTTTACGGATTCGTCTAGCGCAGCAACCAATAACCTTGGATCCTCGTCGTCATTCTTGATGCGAGTTGCCAGAGTTGCAAACCGCTTCATTCTCCGCAAGTGCGTCTAGTGACAGTCAATGATTGTACGATTGGTTGTTACTATACTTACTGATGAAGCAACATGGACCGAGGCCATTTTGGCGTGCTTGAGCTCTTTTCCTGGACATACTACGCATGCCTTGGCCTCTCCATGCGTCGGATATAGTGGGTCAGCCAAAGCCTCGGCAACAGTCATTGGTGCGTCATCACGTTCATCCTCGTCTTCATCACCAGCCTCGTCTTCATCACCAGCCTCGTCTTCATCACCAGCCTCGTCACTGTTTTCTGATACATCGCCCCTCTTTCGCTTTCCCAACTGGCCGGCCTCGTCCTCGCTCGAGTTTGCAGAACCGTTGGAGCTGGATCCCGAATCAGACTCGTCCGAGTCGGTGTCGGCTCCCAGCACATGACTCGGTTCATCATCTCTTTCAACCTCTTGCTCTTTTTTGCGTATCTTTTTGTTGATTCGCTTGAACATGACGTGTACGATGTGGTAGTTGATGTGAGGCGATGGGACGACGCCGGGCGCTTAATTGGGAATCGGGTGGCGCTTTGGGTGGCGTGAATGTATGCTAGCTGAAACGCCGCCTTTTGCCTGTCATAAAAATAGGGAAAAACAGCAAAGAGCTCCAGAGGGTACCAATTGGTACTTGTGACCAAAAAAATCCATGCCAATCGCTTCCATGAGTGTATAGATCGAGATACGTTGACTATCGCCTCCTGGTCGCTCCTAGAGCTTTCCTGAAGTGGGCGGGGCTAGCAGATTCAAGACTGCTCCTGGCCGAGGAACGAGGCCGGAGCAGTCTTGAATCTGCTAGCCACGCCCAAGCTCGGACCTCGGCAAAACATCACGTATCGTACCCCGGCCAAACATCACGCGGCCGTCGTTTGACGCATGGCCGAGGTACGAGGCCAGGTGGCAAACGACGGCCGGCTCGGACCCAGGCAAAAACATCACCGGCCGGACTAGCACCACAAGGGCCGCTCGGACCCAGGCAGAAGATCAAAAGTCGGACCCAGGCAAATCCACATGCATCCATGCGAATTCCTCGGCATTTACGCGAGTCGATCGACTCGCACGCATCATGTAAACCTAAAATGGACTCCCATGCGGTGAATCCAAGTTGGCCCGTGCTGGAGGTGCCTCACTAACAGTCTGGCCGCACCTCTAGTTTTCTGTCACGTGCAAAAGAGTTGTTCAACTCACGTAGCCCCGCTGACATGCATCCGTGTTCGATCTCAAGAGTGGTTTACCCAGGCAAAATAGACAAGACCCAAAAGATTCCCACTACCTGACTCGAACAAGTGACCTCGTCATTACTAGTGACGCGCTCTACCACTGAGCTAAGCGGGAGTTGAGTATCCTTCTCCCCCCGCATCCACTAAGGACATCACCTCCTTGATGCAATATTGCACGGTCCCAGCTCACATTATGACCAATTCAAGACCCCAACATGCATTTCTCCGAGATAACATCAATCAACCACTCAAATTTTACGCGAGGGTCCACAACCTACGCGGAACTTTGCAGCACCAAGCCACACCCGACTCCAAGCGCTCGTCGGCTTTTTTCCACTTCAAAGCCCCACAAAGGTGCCTTGCAGTATAACCCTCTTTCATGTTGGCTGATTATCCCTGTATAATTTCCTGGACGCTTGTTCCCTACACCGAGCGGCAGATCGAAACCAGCTACGCTTTATCCCCGCACAAGTCTAGCAAATACGTGGTATCATCATCGAAAGTCAGCAGCACAAACGGTAACTCTGCCTGGCATATTATATACGCACCGCTGTAATTTAGTACAAGGAACTAGAGATAGGTTTCTCATACAGCTCTACTCGGGAGAGCGCAATCGTTCAATCCTTCCTTTGAGCAGCCTAAGCCAAGTCGTGGATCGTGCAGCGTGCAGCGTGCAACACCTGGACGCAAAATTACCTTGTGAACACGACAGCTAATAGATAGCACCTCTAATGAGAAGGAGCAATAGTGCTGAAACGGACAATAAGCATGTTCTGAAATGCCCCCGATACGCCTTTAGATTGCCCACCCTGATCACTATCTTGGTAAGCGCTCAATACGCTTGCCCATTTTGATTAGGTGCTTTACTTGAGCGTTACGTCTTCTACATAACACTTCACATATATATACATAACACCTAGAATTGCGGTGGCACTAGTAAAAGCGTGATAATTCAGCTCGGTTAACCGGCCGTGGTGCGAGTCTCGCCGTTTTGTACCACAAGGACATTGTTAGCGTCAAAATGCTTATGCTCTTCCGAATGACGGGTGGGCGATGTGTACCTGGAGCCCTGCTATCTGTAGCTAGCCCGCTCAAATAGGCTTATGACTATATGTGAGGGATGCGCCGCGCGCACAGCCACGGACGTTTATCTTATCCATCAGTCACTCGTTATCTCTTTCCCTTATGTTATAATCGAACCCTTACACTCGTTCCGCATGTATATAAGAACGCCTCGTCTGTACGCAGAGAGGCAACCCTCATTCGAATACGAGACTTTGGCAAGTCACGAGCGACACTCGTCAGTTCCAACTATTGCCTCCACGCCTCCTGTTCGACTGGTTCGGTCATCGACCTCACACTATAATAACAAGTTCACAATCAGTAGATCATAGAAAACAACCGTGCTCTTCTAGGCAATCGCGTACCGAGGTGTGGCTAAGGCCTACCCAACTGAAATATTAGGTTGTGCGCCACTGACATTGTCCAGGCCCAGCTCCTTTTCTGGGTTTCATGGAGCTCTCAACGCATAGGCATTTGACCTGTGCTGACTGCGTAGACCCAGAAATATAAATCTTGTACAAATATTCTCGTCTGCGAGGGAGTGAGCAAGGCAAAAGTCAATGTCAAGTCTCCTAAAGTGCCTGTAGCTCATTTTTATTAGACCTTTTGACTGCCCTGACTACAGGATCTTTGGACTCGGTTATCTCAGGCGATCCCTGAATATCTTCGGGAAAATGAGATTGTGGCCACGAGCCTCATATTTCTCCTGTGGGCTAGATTTCGTGATAATCTCATGACTGGTGCTCATGAGCGCTTGTGACTGACCGTGATGACCCCCGAGAACCGATCCCTAGGCTCCTGATTGGTTCTTTGCGCTCGCTATTAGGGGGTATGCGCATCCCGTGCTCACCACCCCATGAGCGCCCGTGACACCATGTGGGCCAGGGCGGATTTGGCAGCGATCTAGCTAGCACGTGATAAACCCTCACTGTCTAACGATGCTTCTGAGCGCTGACTAAATGCCGGCAGCACCAGTAGTCCGTGCTACTTTGGGTCCAGTGAGCGCTCAAAAGCATCGTTAGACAGTTCGAGCTAATGTATGCTAGCTAGATATTCGGAGATTGGCTTTATAAAGCCATGACTACTTCTCTGCAGATTTCCGCTTCCAACGAGAGTTGTGTAGATTCGAGTGCGATGGGAGTGGATTTTGCCTCATATATCCTCCTGTCAGCTACCATCCAGACATTTCAGGCAATATAACTGGCTCGTTTTCAATCCGTTGTATTTCCGCTTTGACAACAATATAAAGGATACGTCGGGCTCGTGTCTTGGCCGCTAGGCAATGTCGGTCGTGTCAAAAAGTCCAACGTTTCCACTAGTACCTTGAAAATCAATCCTGAGTTTGAATATCCACACTCCGTTAGTACTGAATCCGTTGACATCCTAGCTAAAATGTTTGGTCTAGGCTAGAGACTCGACCTGGTGCACTGCATTTGAAGGGAGACGTAAAACGGACTATGTGAACATCGATATACTAAAGCGGACTTCGTTCAAGACGGTACTATATTTAGAATAGATCAGTCCCTATTCGGAAATGCCTGGCCCTCTGACTGTTCGATTTGCATTCTTGATTTGATATTTATAGCGATCAATCAGCCCCACGCCTTGGCCGTCAGGGATCCAATGTACGGCCATGTCAAAGAGGCCGTGGAAAGGTTTTACTACGGGGCCAAAGCTGGAACCGGTACATTTAAACCGTTGCTGTTTAAAGGGATAGACGACCTGTCCTTATTTGCCGCACCCCCGCCTTCCACCCATCCCACAGGCGCTCGTCAAGACCCCGTTTGTCCCACCCGTACCTCCGGCCATGTCCTCAAGCAATACAACCAATCTCACTTGCCCTCTTCCTCGCCACCAAGACTTTTGTAGCACCATTGTCGCAAACCCGGAAATATCGGTAAGGACTAGTATGAAGCATGATCGAGATAATTTGACAAGTTGGTGAGAGCAGGGCATAGGAGTGAGTCGTATTCATAAAACCTCCTCGGCGCGTCTTACGTGAATTAGATTCGTATTGCTATATACCTGCAAGCTGTCATCAACATTGTGAACCAGTCCGCGCTCTACTACCACATGACTCCTAACATCCCAGATTAGGGAATTGGAATATATCTAAAAGAGCATGAAAATGCTATTCGTGACACTTCTCGAAATTCTTTGATTCTTTCGGGAGGCTTGATCATCTCCTCGCTAATTACTTGGAAAACAGAAGGACTGAGTTTGTTCGACGGTCTTATTGTGTCTATGGTATGTCCCGAAATTCAACACAACAGTACCGACTGATTCATCTATACACGGACAGCTTACAACTATTAGCACCATCTTTGTAGTGACTAACTTGTCTGTTGTGAGTCTCAGTTTTCGTAGTTCCCTCAAACGCTAAAAAGAAGCAGATGCGCGTATATGGTCTGTCCTTGAACTTTGCCAGTCTGTTGTATACAATGTTCTGGTGTTACTGGGGATTTCAAATCTGGTCAAACCCGTCGACGTTTGGTCTTCCTGCCGGCGGCGAAAACTGTACAGCTAATCGGGATACCAAGTTCGTGGCATTTGTTACGGTTAACCCCTCAAACCGAGAAATGCGTGGGTTTGCCCTGTTTATATTCGGTTTTAGCTCAACCTGGGTACTTACATCACTGCTATGTACGACCCAATGGCTAGTAATGTACTCTCAAGGGGAAGCTTGGATAGCTAAATATGTTAGAGCCTATGGGTATCGTAGGGCGATGCATGGTAGGTCGTCCTTTGTTATAAGGCACGCCTTTTGATCAAAGATAACAAAAACAGTGCCAATGATGATTTTAATTTATATGATAACTACCACGGAAGTGATCGTGGCACGCAATGAGGGCGCAAGAAAAAACCTCAACCAATGGTCGTATGGTCAAATTATAGCCATGCTAATGCTCGGGCAGCAGATTCTTGACTGTGGCGTATACATCAAGGAACTGACTAATGAGGTTGATTATAGCCTATTACTGCATTATATATTACCATCCAACTGGTGGGAATTCACATTCGATTTTATGTTCTTATTCACGTTGGCTTACTGCCTATTGTTGTCGCATTGAGTAACCATCATTATTGCCTACAATGCATGTCGATATGTGTTGTAAAGACAAGCTGTCTTGTTTATCGTGCACCGGTTTTTGCCGTAGTTCCATTTGTGTACCCATGTTAGGATATCAGGTGCTAATATTACCTATCGAAGATGACTCGTTATAAGATACGTACACAAATGGAAAATACCGGTAGTGCAAGACAAGTGAAATGGGTTGTGGCATCAGATTCGATACAGCTACTCGTAAAACGTTCTGATGAATACCGGTTGCGTCCATGGTATGCATCACCAAAATATGCAAATCGTATCACAAAAAAGACGCTACTTCTTGCCAAAATGTATATACTCTCATGAGTGACCGATCACTGATGTATGGCCGAAGTTTTCTCTCGACTGAAATCATGTTGGGTTGCATATATTTTATTTAGCAATCTTGGGTACGTTTCCTCGGTGCGCCCTAGCATAGCTGTATTTGAGTCCATTTTGTTGACTTCGATATTTTTCCTGGTCTCGCTTGTCAATTAGATACTCCTATGGTGACGGAGCCCGCATCTCGGGACCAGAAAACAGCGAGCGAAAACGAGTAGTTCAAATGTGACATGAGGCCCTATTAGTCTGATTGCTTAGTTACCAGTACGGACTCGGAAGCTATCTGGAACTCAAAGCAGTTTTCTGGGATTCCAGTCCCGTCGATACATCAACCACTTGATATGGATTAATCAAGGAGCTAAGCTAAATTTTCCCAAGCGATGTGGCTCGCGGCTAGGATCCCACCACAGCGCTGTGCAAAAGTTATCACACCGAATCGCCCAGCGGTAAGACATCTCTTCGTAACCCACACTTTCCCCTTCGCACTCTCGCATATCTATCAATTCGAGTTCACTCCCAAGTACCGTACGAGGTCATTTGAACATGAATTGCACGCCCATAGCGGGTATATGCGCCAATCCGCTATCTTCGCGGCTCGCCCCGTTCCCCTCTGACCAATCGTT